CATCTGTAACCTGTAACATGTTCTCCCGGTCCTCAAGTCAAACTTGAAATTTCCTTTTATTGCTAAAAGGCATGCGAGCCCACGCATGCACAAGAGAGGGGGAGTGTGCACACACAACACACACTTGTGTGCTTCAGGGGTCATAGTCATGCTGCAGTTTTTGTCCCTCCATTTTTCCATCCTGTCAGGATTTCAAGCACTCATGCACACACGTATCTGGCATATTTATTCAAGCTTCCAGGGTTCAAACTGTGGTCAGCCATGTGGGATGCAGCTCTTCATGCCCAGCATTAAAACTCTGCACTATGGGACCAGCCTGAAAGGAGAGGTCTCAGTGTAAATGTTTTGTTACTGCCTATATTATTTCTTCCTCCACTTCTCAGGAAGCTGCTTGGGAACTATTAGAAGGTAATTTGGAGAGTTCTAGTTTTGTTTTGTTTTCTTTTCTTTTTTGTTAATTTGCTACAACACATGTGTGCTTGCTGGAGAGAAAGAGGGAAGGTAAGAAAGCATCTGCTTAGAGGGGATGGGCATGCCACAATCCCTTCTCCTCTATTCTCCTTTTGGGATTTTGGGCATGCACCAGATGCTCCTGGTGTGTTTTTCAAGCCACTAAGTCCAGGACTCTAATCATGTAGTTAGCCACGGGGGAGCCAACTGTTTAACCACCACACCACTGTCTGACCCGAGAGTTCTAGTTTTTAATTGGTTGTTATTGGATGCCATATAACTCTTACAAAGGTGTGTTAAAGGAGGAATAATGCACCAGTATACACATTCAGATAAGTCATTTTTAATTGCTGATTTTCCATAATCCATTCTGTGTTTTAGAGCAAGTATATCTAAGGAGTTTCACAGGATCATATTGGGAGTTCAGTTTTGGATGGCCGGGATAAAAAAGGAAATTGCATTTAATTTGTAGGTACTTATATAATCTTGACTTTATTCTCAAATTGTGAGAATAAACAGACATCTGTTTCCATGCTTTAAGTTTTTTCGTATTACTTCCTCGCTTGTTTAATGACACATTTCAGATCTCCAGACCTAAAAGTAGGTATGCAGTGTATGTGGAAAACAAATGACGGTGCTTCTTACAGTCTCCACTAGGCCACTGTGGGCCTATAACATGCTAAGAGGAAAAAACTATCCTAACCCTGTTCCTCGAGCTGCCTCTCAGGCAGAGGACTGAGCAGCACCTCCTTGGACTGAAGCCTAGGAGGCAGGTCCTGCATTAATGGAAACTCTCTCGTTTCTTCCAACAAAGCAGGGATTTAGTAAAAGTTTATCTCATACAAGAGTCACACACTCAAGGAATGGAAAGATGGAGATGCACCTGGATCTCACAAACAGCTGGAACCAAGAACACAAACACCATTGAGTCCATTTCCTGCTGCTTTTTCTCTGCTTCCTCTGTGCAGAGGAACTTTCTCCATCTTAGGAAAACCTGGCCTCCTGCATGCTGCAAGTGTTCTTTCATGGAACTTCAGCCCTGGATGGAGACTGGACCCCACGCTAAGCCTCTAGCTCTCCCCTCCAGGTTACTTTACTAGTCCCATCATGGCTGTGGTTCCTGTAGGACCATAGCACCTCCCATTGGAGCTATGTGAAAGGTGCCAAGGGGGTTGCCAGTGGGAATGTAAAAAGGTTCACAGACTTCTAAGTTAATTGTCTGTCCCAGGCCACCTGTTTGCTGCTATTCTTTGTTGTTATTTTAGCCTTAAAAGCAGTTCCTGGGGACCAGCGGGTGGCGTGGTGGTTAAGGCACTGGACACTCCCACATGGTCGACCACAGTTCGAGTCCCGGACCTGGTGGCTTGCTTTCTCGCTTTCTCTCTCTCCTCTCTGTGTCTCTCTCTCTGGTCAAATTAAAATAAATTAATGAATAAATTAAATTAAAAATAAATAATTATATAATTAATATATATATATATTATATAATATATATATATATAAAAAACAGTTCCTGTTTTAGTACCTTTGGACACAGATATGCTCCAGGCCTGAGGGAGTCTTATGAAGGACTGGACTGTAGGATCTCAAAGGAACTCTATCAGGATAAAAAGGATTATACTTAAATGGGTTCAATTTCAGAAATATAGAAGGAAGGTCTGGAATGTTTACTGCCTTGTTAATCTTTTGGTCTAATCCACCAACATTGGTTGATTGAGGAACGTTTTGTTTTATCCCATCATCCTCAGCCTGTGTTCTATTTATGCTGCAGTCTGACTGTCGCCTCCCCCACCCATATCCCCACTTGTATTCTTGTTGCTTTCCTTAATTTCCTTGGAGAGATTGGAGTTGAATATAGAACAGTGCTTTTGCAAGTACATCTCAGCCATTATTTTAATTTGTGAGTGATATTTTTTATAGTAGTTGAGTAAAACATTGTATATACTTGGTTAAAAATAATTTTCTATAAAGGCATTTAGACCATAGTGTTTATAATGCCTCACACATAATAGGGGCTTGAAAAATAAGTTGAATACACTTGGAAATGTTTTTAATTTGTCCTTATTTACCAGGAAGAAGAATGAATGACAGGAACAAGCATTGGGCACTGGAGGCGAGGCTTGTGCAGACCATCCCTCACTGCAGGGGCAGGCTGGGCACTGGGTCATGAGACTATCTGTCCACTGTCAGGAGAAATGGTGGATATCCCTTACTTTGCCATACACCATGCCTATTGATTGCCTGGATACACTTTTCCCATTGGGTTTGATTTAGTGATCCATCCCAGACAGGGTGTCCCCTTGGCTTTGTTACCATATCCATGTCAGCATGAAATTTGACATGCTAGGTCTTGCAGTATTTAACAAAGGTATCTCTGGAGATTTCCTTACTAATGTAGGAAGGGTCCTTGTCCCCTTACCTCATATCTATAGTGTCTGTAACAGTGAAGTACCCAAGTTGAAGATTAAGGTATCAGAGTACAGACATAAAAGGTAATACTAGTCCGGGCACAGTTTAATTAAGTTACTAATTTTCTGGTGCCCTGGAGCTACGGAAGTGGCCCTAAATATTCATGCCATTGGGTTTTTTTTGTTTTTTTTTTTTTTTTATTGCAGTTGAGTACCAGAGTCTCAGGTTCCAGTTTGGTGACAACTCTGACTAACAACTGGCTGAGTTGGTGGCAGCACTAATAGTTGCCTTTGGAACTAGGCGCTTACCCAGGACTTGATTTCAAATCTAGTTATGTAAATTGACAGGCAGGCCAAGTCATTGTTTTTATCAGAAAGCTTTTCTGTGCCCAACATGCAGATAAATTTAATGGGCATTGTTTTATGTTACGAAGTAGTAGTTCTAAGAAAAATGTCAAATTTATGACAAGAAGTCCAGTATGTAAAACTGATAGAACTCTGACGTCTTTGGATTAAAGAGGAGCCAGACTTTAGGTAGGACAGAGTTTAAAAGGCACTGTCAAGATCATGGCTAATGTCTTTTTAGACCAAAAAAATTTCAAAGACAATATTCACCAGTCATCTGCTGTTATGGAACGAGCTCACTGCCTTCCTCCCCCTAAGAACAGCTATAGAAAGCCTCATGTTAAATAATATAACTTCTGCTCAAACCACTGTGATTCTTGTGGGGTAGCAGTATGGTTGACAATAACCCCAGCATTTGGGAGATATAGTTAGAATCAAAGAGATAGTTTTGCTTTTCTTTCAAGTTTATCGATTTCTTCTTTAAGAGAGAAATGCAGAGAAACAGCCATCCTAACAAGGTTCGCACACCATGATCCACCCCCAGCCTCAGCCAGTGTCCAGCATTCTTGGGGAGGTCCTGGGACCTTTTCCACGCAGGTTCAATTGCACCACCACCTGGCGCCAAGGATGTGGATTTTTGAGATTTGTTTAGGAATGATCATACTTTGGTTTTTTGTGGGTTTTTTGGGGCACATTACAGAACATTTTCCCAAATATTAGTCATCAGAGCCACTCGAGTTAGCTTTCTTCTGCTGAAATAGTAAAGGAAAAATAAAATCCAGGGTTCAGAAATTTTGTAAAGTCAAGTTAGTTTTTAATGTGAATAAATGTATCATCTATTGTAGTTCTTCCTTGATGTTTTGACCCTTCTCACCAATGTTCTCTTGGATGAAAGATTCTTTTTTGTGCATTTTAGATAAAGCTTTCAGTTTAAAAAGCAAACTTTCCAGTTTGTATTGTGAGCCAGCATTTACCTGGAAAGCACCACTCCAAAAAGTGGAATGTTCTTTAAGCAGTAAACAAGGCATGTGGTTATTCTGTAAACAGCACTTGGGTTTACTGTGACTTTTTCACCTCCGTCTTCCTTGTCACTCTCTGCTTTATTACACACCAGAGCTTGAGGAAATTACAAAATAATTTGTTTCCTTATCGTAGTTCCGACTGTTGCGTAAAGCGCTCTAGTCAGCTATACATTTTCAGACTCTTACCCACATTTTTCAGTCCGTAAGACTCAGTTCAGAAAGCATCCCGTTCTCTGAGGTGTGGAATCATCATACACTGCCTGTCTGTCTCTGAACTATCCGTATCACCTGTTTGGGGCTTTTTCCTATAGGGTCTGGTAATGTGGCATATATTACTCCTGTAGATGTAAGGCCTTCTGTAAAAGGGCAGTTCAGGATGTTCATGGAACAATGAAATGAAAGTGCTAGTTCACTTTGGTGTAAAAGCAATTCTGAAATCTGCAGTTTTTCATACTTATTTTCCATGGACGTCATGAAGACTCCTTGTTTATGTGCTTGTCTTCCTCGCTAAGTATTCTGAGTCCTGGAAAACTAATGAATACTACCCCTCTGACGGTATTTATGTGTCATTAAGTTCTCATCTTTTGGCCCATGAGCCGAGTCCTGGCTGTGTGTTTGGGAAGTTCTTACCCCAAAAGCACCAGCAAGAGCTTTCCTACTCGGCCATGCTAATCAGGTGACAGATGAGTTCAGTTACGCCCTGTTGTTTTACCTAGAATTCTTCTCTCCACCCAGGATCAAGCCTCTGCTGGGCAGTGAGTGTTGATGTGGCAGTGGAAAGGATCTGCTGACTAGGTAGGCAAATCCTCAGAGAAAGCGTCCTTGGGTAGAATGTTCTAGATGGTCCTCCAAAGGGCGGTGCAATAGTGCATTCAATGACTCTAAATACTCCTACTGGGAAAAGTCTATTTACACTAAATACCACCATACAGCAGCCTTTGAGCAGTTTAAAAAGAAAACAAGCCTTCCAATCTCCAACTACTGTGGTTCGGCTCAGGCTAGTTTTGTGGTATGTTTGTGCTTTGGTGGGCATTTGGCCAGAACAGAAATAGCAAAGCCTGGACCTTGAAGGAGAATGATTTTTTAGGTTTATATCTGACCCTGTAGAAATAAGTTTAAGGTTGTGAATTTTAAAAAGAAAATTAGTTGCTTTGTTTTTTGTTTTTTTTTTCCTTCTTCCCTCTTCGAAATATTCTTCATTGAAATGACTGAAAGGAAAAAATAAAAATCAGTTTATCACTCTCGAGTCTAACTTTTTAGAACCACAGCATTTTTTATTTATCTTCATTCTTAGACACAAAAGTAATTTTCTAAAAGGCATTTGTTTTGTTTTGCCATGTTTGGGCTTTGTTTAAAACTTTCTCAATTGGGGACCAGCAATTGGCATAATGGCTGTGTCCCTGGACTCCCATTCAAGTCTTGGACTCAGTGGCTTACACTCACGCCGGGCACGTGGGCATGCGTGCCCAAGATTCCTAGAGGAGAATGGAGGAGAGGGAATTGTGGCGTGGCCATCCTTCCTGGGAGGTGATTTCTCACTTTCTGTCTCTGTCTCTCTGTCTTTCTGGCGGAGCGCACGTGCCCTAAAATTTTCTCAGTTGTTCATGGTTCAAGTTTTGAATTAAGCATATTTTTAAATCTTTTTAAAGGAGCAGGATTGGCTGTTTGCTCTTCTTTTTACTAGGGTGTGGGTGGGGCCATGATGTGTGCCCATTATCATGTGGACTATATTTACCTGACCTTAGGACAGAGTGGGTAGTAATGTAACCAGAAGAAAAATAGATTTACAATTTTGTTCTTGAAGATTGATGGTTTTTTACATTTTTAAATGACATTGATAATTAACCTTTTATATTGTTAACATACAGTGCTAATTTGTCTAGAAATAGTTGTATTTCATGTTTTTCTGAGACTGATTCTAAAAATATCATAATGTAACTTCTAATTCCTTAGGATATCTGTGAATGAATAATTGTAGATAAAACTAAAGATGACAGATCCATATTGATAAAATACCTTTATATTCATAGAAATCAATTAGTCATGTGTTGTAGACATTCCTAAGTAATGCCTTGTAATATGTAATTATAACTTTTAGTCTTATATCAGTGATAAAAATCTTTGCCATTTGTGATCATTGGAGACGTTCATAATTGTGAATAATGTAGTTAGTTGTCATTAGTGAAAAAGCTACTCAGATTGATTTGAAATCTTTAACTAACTGCAGATCCTGTCTTAGTAGTGGATTATGAAGCCTACTTGGTGGGTTATGACCAGCATTAAAAATGAGGGGAAGGAGTAAGAGGACTCGAATAGGAAAAAATGGACCAGAGCAGATGTTAGTGTAATTTACAGAGCATGGTGCCACTCAGTGATACTTCTTTTTAATGTGCGAGAGTATGTTTGTGTGAGAGAGAGTAAAAGAGAGAGAGTGATACGAAGTCAGATCTGTAAGCCATGGTTGGTAATGGCAATGCAATTAGGTGACCTGGTGTTCTCGTGGTTGTGTAAATGACTGAGTGCCAGGTACATACTGATGGTGGCTTGAATTGGAAAACTTTGGTACTTAGTCTTTCCTGACCTATTTGTACTTTTTTCTTCCTTGAGATTTTTGCTATAGGGCACATGCACTCACTGGAGAGACAGAGACAGAAAGCAAGAAATCACCCCTACCCCTGCGGTATGGGGGGAGATGGCCGTGCCGCAGTCCCTTCTCTTCCAGTCTCCTCTTGGAATCTTGGATACATTCGTACACACACCCAGCATGAGTTTCAAGCCACCAGGTCTGGGACTTAAGCCATAGTTGGCCCTGTGGGAGTCCAGCAATGTAACCACTATGCCATCTGCTGGCCCATCTATTTGTACTCTTAATAGAGAGTAAAGGAAGACCTGTGTGACTTGCTGATCAGATTTGTATTATGTCGTTGGGAAGGTCATGATGTATTTTCCATGCAAGAATGCATCATGACTTTCTCAAGAACCCAGTAGTTGACAGGAATCTGGTAGGGGAAGCAAATAATACACTGGATAACAGAATCGAGATCCAAGAAAACTATTAAAACTTCTACTGTATACTGAATCTAAATCAGAGGTCACTAATCACTCCTGCAGGCATCTCCCACAGTGCAGTAGGAAACAGTGGGTGAAGACGTGGCTCAGTGCACAGCAGGTATGAAAGACTTGGGTCAGGTAAGCTGCTTAGTACCAAGCTTTTTAGCTGTGTAGTGTGACTATTAAAACTAACAATGGAGTTTAAGACTGCATTTATGACAGATACGGATAAGTGTTCTCAGCTGGTCAGGTCACACGTGGGATGTGGGTCTGGTTTGGCACCACACTCTTTGAGAGAGAGACACAGTGACAAACCCGAATGCCTGGAGGATAACTGAGAGGTCTTTGAGTTAGCTCTCTGGAGGTTCATCGTCTTCATCTTTAACAGAAGATGGATACATTTTTTAGGAATTTGCTTGCCAATTTTAGTACAGATGTTGCAGATTGACAGTGAATATATATGGCTCCTGCCCCCCGGGAGCTAGCTCACAGACTAGTATAGAGATGTTCATTTGTGTATGAGCCAGGCTGTCCACAGTGCTTCGAGTTCTTTCTTCATGGCAGCCCTCACTTCCCGTTTACCCCAGTCCTGAAGGCCTCCAGGTTAGGCTATGAGGCTACAGGTCCCTCATATTCCTAACCGGTGCCCACTGAAGTGACTGCCCAGGTTTGATGGTCTAGTTCTGCCGACTTACTTTAGTTCTGGTATTTGTCCCTGGCTTGTCTTGTACTGGGGTGGGGAGGGAGTCTGGGAATGGGAATTCTGTCACATCATTAGTTGGAATTCATTTTAAAATGGCATGTCTATAAATTCAATTTTCAAAAAAAATCCTTGGCTCATAGGACTGTAAATTTAAAAAAGAAAAAGTGTCAATTTAAATAAGTTTAATTAACATCATACTTATTTAACATGTCTTTAAGTATAGTTACCATATATAAAGAATATATTATGTCCCCCAAGTAACTTAATTAATTGGTGGTCTAATGGAGAATCTTACAAATTCGTGTGTTGAAGTGGATTTCTTTTCTTTTCTTTTTAAGAGAAATTGTTGCCATAGGGCACATGTGCTGGCAGGAGAGACAGATAAAAAGTGAGAAATCAGCACCAACCCCCCCCACGCCACACCCAATTCTTGCTCCTCTATTTTCCTCTTGGAATTTTGGACACGCGCACACATGTGCCCAGTGTGACTTTCAAGCCACCAGGTCCAGGGACTCAAACATGGTTGGATGGTTGGTTACTTGGGAGTGCAGCATTTTAACCATTATGCCACCTGCTGGTCTTTTATTTATTTATTTTTTTTGTCTACAACCGTGCTACAATGAAAGCCACCCTTTGTCAAACTATATAGTATAGTGAGATTTGCTAAGTAAGATTTTACTAGAATGGCTTATTTCAGAAAAAGAAATTGTTTAACTGTGCTTAAACAAATTGTTTAATTACTCATTGGGCTGTAAGAAAAGTCATGACATATTTTTCTCTGTGCAAAAATGTGCCATGACTTTTCCACAACCCAGTAGTTTAATTGTAAATATATTTGATATCTATAAGTATAAAATCTTGTGTTTTTATTCAACATGCAAAGAAAAAGATTTATAGATAAGCTATAAGAAAACGAAAACTCTACATTAAGTAACAAAATTAAAATGCCAATGGCAGAGTAGGAGAAGATATTTGCAAAAAAAGTAACAACTGCAAGGATAGTATTTATAATTATACAGTAAGCTACAAATCAATAAGAAAAAGACACTCTGAATACAGCACACTGATGGGCAGTAGAGACTTACGGTTCTACTAAGGAGATACAAATGGAAAAAAGGCATGAGCATATGTTCATTGCCATCAGTGATCAGCAATGCAGATCCACAGCATTGTTCAGAAGTCTGGGAAGGGAAGGAGGTCAAGAAAAAAGCATTTTTAATTTGTCGATTGACCAAAACTAAATGGGTTGACAGGTTCTGGTGCTGGCCAGCTGGTGAGGAAGTGGCTGCCCATGTGCACTTTGGATGCCTTCGTAAGTGGGCACAGGGTTTTTGTTGAGTTCAGTCTTCATGTTTTGACTCTCAAAGACTGCTGCCTGATTTGAGTCATGCCCAGAATCTTCGTCAACTTTATTTTGCTCTGGAGTCAGTTGTACAGGATGTGGAGTATTGTGTGGTCCCTTGGTGGCCAGAGCATCCCTTTGGTGAAGAAAGCTTTGTCAAGTAGGCAGGCCAGGGATCCTTTCCTCAGTTTTTATAAGATAGGAAGCTGACAGCTGAGTTCAGTGGTTGTCAGAGTTAGGTAATTTGGGTTAGTAAAGAAGATGACAGAATTGTAGCTCATTTTCCTCATTTGATATGACTTCTAGGGACAAATTGGGCTGGAATCCTAAGATAAAGCAAAGCTGGGATCAGCAGATGCTGTAATGGTTACATTGTTGGACTCCCACATAGTCAACTGCAGTTCTAGTCCTGGACCTGGCAGCTTAAAACTCATACTAGGCTTATGTGCATGTATGCCCAAAATATTGAGAAGAGAAGGGGTTATGGCATGGCCATCCCCTCTGGGGGGGGGGTGATTTCTCTCTTTTTCTCTCTGACTCCGGAGAGTGCACATGTCCTATAGTGAAAAACCTCTCTACAAAAAAAAAGAAAGAAAAAAAAACAAAACTGGGTAGGTCTACACAGAAAGGAAGGGGTCGGCAGGTGGTGTGATGGTTAAGGATGCTGGACTCCCACATGGCCAACTGCAGTTTGAGTCC